GGTGGAAGCTCTTTAAGGGCAGATCTCTGGCATCTTGATCTTTGTTTCCCACCTAGAGCTTGTACACAGCAGAATTCTAGTGCACATTCATGGACTGAATATAGTGGTAACTATATTATTTTATTTTAGAGATGTGGGTGCAATTCAGGATTAAGTATACAAGTGGTCATCATATAGGTAAAGGTTGGTCCCCCCTTTGGTCCCCACTTTGCCTGGTTTGAGATCAGGAATGCTTGTTGTTTCCCCCCACTTCCCCCCCCCCCCACATTGGTAAATACTGAGGCAGTTGATTCCTGGTTACTTATTGCCAGGTTGTTCGCTTTGTGAATTTATAAATCAGTTGCTAAGTAAACCAAGAGGAAAGCTAAGTTAGACCTTCCACTTTGGCTAGTTATTAGTAGCCTTAAAAATTATCAGACTAATTATTAGTGGCTTTCAACAGGGAGATGGTGTTGAAACCACTAGTGGCAATTCTTCTAGCTTCAGGTAGCTCAGAGAGACAGTCCCAGAGTGGGACACACCAGCTCTCCCCAGTCCCCACCTGGATCTCAGTGGCTGATTCCTGTGGTGTCTTCTGGACAGTGTCCACCTCATGCCACCCTGCTCAGAAAGGCAGGATGAGACCCGATCCTGGTGAAAGGCTATGAGACATGGTGCTTCGTTGATCTTCCTCAGACTCCTGTCCGAGGTGAGAGAAACGCAGCAAATTCAGGCCCGTGCTTCTAAGAGAGGCCAAGATTTTTCTCCAGAGGAAAGGTTTTTTTTCCTTTTTGAAAACTGGCAAAGGATGCAAAATTCCAAGTTGGATTCTAAAGTTTGTGGTCGAATGGCCATGAGGCCTGGACCCCATATGTGGGGAAACGTGGCTTGTGAGTGTCAGTGGCAGCTCGAGTGGTGTCGTCCAGGCCCAGCTCTGCAAGCATCAGGAGGTCAGGCATGGGGTGCTGGAAGCGGCATGGCTTTCTGCTGGTGACAAGGGTCATCTGTGTAAGCCACGTGGAGCACGGGCATGCCCTTCTCACCTGACACACTTCGGTAGACGCTTCGTGGGAAAGAAAGTGCCAAAAGCCCAACCGTTCGATGCTTCCCTCCCACACTTTGCTCTGCTCCAAGGACTTCCCTGTCCCTGCTGACTCTGCTGTCTGGCAGTTCAAGCTGCGTGTGGCAAGGATCTCTAAGGGTCAGGCCAGCAACCCAAGGCCTGAGCCACTAAAAGGAGGACAGAGAAAGGAGAATTATGAGAGGGACTTCTCTTTGGAGTTCTGGGTGTCAGACACACCTGAAAGTTCGTAACTCCCAAGGGTTCCAGAGAGCCCCGCTCACAGGAAGCCTCTCTGGAGGACAGTTTAAAACAGCAATGCCACAAAATCTAGTAGCTCAACCTTAACTCCAGCAGCAAAACTGCCCGGGCCAGCCCCACTGTTACCATTCAAAGGGTCTACAGTGAAGCCACCCCTGACTTGAATGCTACTGGGTGTCTTTTGGAACCTTATTTCGGTGTCTTATTAGAAAGGTTCCTGTTATAACCACGTCTTGGGAGAATCGAGTGCATTTTCTTTTAGGCCTCTAACGCGCCTTTTCACATTTTATTTTAATCTGGCCAGATTTAAATATTGTCCCTAGTCCTCTAGAGACCTGAGATGCCACAAGAGAGAAAGGGGGCACTCGGGTCCCTGACTCCACACCCTGGAGGAGTTATACTTCAGTCGTCGAAAGGAAGGATGACAGTCAGAATGCGTAACAACCAGTACCCTACGGGCACCAGCCACCGGGAACGGAACACCAGCTGGAAACGGCTGGGAAGGCTGCACTGACTTGCCGCTGAAAAGTGGCCTTGCGTCAGCCACTTCTCTGCCTGATTCCGCGGTCCTGTGGACTTTCTAGGGAGGGAGACCCATGCTGCTATGGCCAGGGCCAAGCGAAGGGATGTGAGACACAGTCCCTGATGTTGGCTGTCCTCAGAAAAGGACAAATATCATGTAACCCAGTGCATGGTTGATGCCAGGGGAATGGCTTTCTGGGTTTCCATGCCTGACTATGCATTCCTGGCACCTGAGGGGACACTGTATGGAAGACATTTTCACCTCATCCTGACTGGCCGAGTACACATATCCGAGAGTGGATCCCAGGGCAGCTCCTGCACAGCCAGGCTGGGGAGGCATCAGCGAAGACAGCAAGGGCTCTGGTTTGCAGCTGGGCGTGATACCGTGGCCTCTGTGGGACCATGGGAAGGAGCACTGGCAGAGCAGGAGGGACCAGACAAGGCACCGCAGGGGCTCCTCTGGGACCAGAGGGAGATAAGAGGATGGATTTCAGCCTCTCCGGCTGCCCCACCCAGAGTCACGGGGGCGTGGAGAGCAAAGCTGGAGCCCACATGCTGGACAGCTGCTGCTTCCCCCAGCAAAACGAGTCCTCCGAGGTGAAGGAGCCTCCTCCTCTTCTGTGTCCCCCACCTCAAAGCCTAGCAGAGCCCTGACCCAGAGCTGTGGGACTGAATGAACCAGCCCTGGTGTCTGCTGGTTTCTCCCATACTCTTGCAGGGACACCCCATGATCCCCTGGGTCTTCTCCCCCCGGGGGTACCCCAACCCTCTTCTGCCTTCCTGGAGTGGATTCCCCCCCACTGTTCACCAGTGAGGAGCCACCCCTTCCAGCACAGGAGGAGGACCGGGGGCCGACTCTGACCTTGGGAATTGACTGCCCATGCTAGAGTGTGCCTGGCACTCTAGAGGGGTCCCATTGAGGTGCACTTCCCTCCCCCTGACAAGCAAGCCCATTCTCGGTCCGTCTCCCCCCTTTGGCCCAATCTGGAGAGAGTGAGCATGTCCCAGGCTGTCACCAGGTGGCGCTATGTGGCAGCCCTTGGGCCTGGTCGGGTCTGGCTAGGGTCTGCTCCCCAACCGGCCGCCTGCGTCCCAGGTTAGGATTCCCGCTCTGGGTGTTGAGCGGCCCGTGACACGCCCTTCTTCACTGGCAGGTCCTCGCTCTCCTGCCCTTGAAAAGATAATGTGGGGCGCAAAACAAGAGTGTTATGACTCTAAGAGTACCCTATAACCCCTCTGTGCCGGAGTCTCTTCAACCACAAAATGGGGAAAGTAATATTGCCCACGCTGGGTTGTTTTGAGGTTTGAGTGATGTCCGTGTCAGCTCCTGGTGGATGCTTGTGCACTAAATCCATATGCTGTTAACAGTCTTGCAGCCAACCTGTAAGTTGCTGGTAGTTGGGCGACTTTGATTCCACTCATTCCTCACAGCCAGTCAGTTCTGCCTTCTGCATTTGGAATACTTGTAAGATTAAACCTTGTTTATGAAGACGATGATCTGAAGATCAGAAATGAACCGTTGGTCTGCAATGAACGGCTAGCCTTGTGTTCACCTGGTTGATGGCTCCACAGGAGTCACTAAACCTTTGTTCACTAAGCCTTTGTTCGGCCGCGAGTGAGCCAATTCGGTTCTGAGGTGGTGCTGGAACCCATCCCAAACGAAGGGTGACTGAGGACATGAAAAGCTGCAAGGCCTGGACCAGGGGAACAGGGGAGCCATCTCTAGTGCTCAAGTAAAAGAGAGAAGGTTGGTCCGGCTCGGTGGCTCAACCCGTAATCCCAGCACTTTGGGAGGCCGATGTGAGGGGATTGCCTGAGCCCACGGTTCGAGACCCACCTGGGCAACTTGGCGAGACCTCATCTCTACAATAAATCAAAAAATCAGCCGGGTGTGGTAGCGTGCGCCTGTAGTTCCTGCTACTTGGAAGGCTGAAGTGGAAGGATCGCTGGAGCCCAGCAGGTCGAGGCTGCGGGGGCCGGGAGCGGCCACTGCACTCCAGTCTGGGCGACTGAGTGAGACTCCAACTCAAAAAAAAAAAAAAGAGAGAGAGAGAGAAGGTCGACGGATTCTGAATTGCTCTTGAGGGCAGGGCTAGCACGAAGGGAAGGGCAGGATGGGCTGTGTGGGAAAAGGACATGGGGATATGGTGAGGTGACCCCTCTGGGCTTTAGCTGCTTTGCTAGTGAAATGAGCTGATTCGACAGATCCTAGACATCCTGTTATCCAACAATTTTCCAGCCTCCGCTGGGCATCCTGCAATTCAATTCTGTTCTGACATGAATTCCTGGAGTCAGAGCAGGCCTCACAGGGAAGGGGAGTGGTCCCACAAGACTGCCTCCAATTCAGATGCCAGCTGCAAGTTCCGGGGCCAGGGACCAGCGTCTGTGGTTAAGACGGTTACAAATTCAAGAGTTCTCATGACTCCACTTCAAGGTTGATAATTCACTAGAGTGAATGACAAAACTCAGAAAAATTTAGGAGTATGGTTTCATTATCAAGGATGCAACTTAGGAATGGCCAAATAGAAGAGGTGCATACGGCAGAGGATGGGAGGTGAGAGGCACGCAGCTTCTGTTCCCCAGAGTTCCCAGAACAGTGTTGCTTCCTGGGTTTTAGGCATGGTTTCACTGTGGAGGCACAGGTGATTAGATCACTGGTCATCTGATTGAACTCAATCTCCAGTCCCTCTCTGATGCCCCAGATGGGTTCCTTGGGTAACTAGCACCTACCCTGAAGCCATCCGGTCCCCCAGTCCCATGACTCATCTCGATAGCCTAAACTCAGGTATGGGAGAAAGGGGCTCCCTAAGAATGAGTGACAAAAGACACTCCTATCGCTCAGGAAATTCCAGAGGTTAGGTCATAGGAGCTCTGGGTCAGGAACTTGGGACAAAGACCAAGTGCATCTTCTGTCACCCCACAGATACTTTAGCCTCCCTTCAGTCACTAACATGCTCTACCGAGGGATTCTGAAACTGATGACAGGATACAATTCAGCTCATTATAAGAAAACACCTTCCCTAGAACTCTTAGCTGCCCAGGTGTGACCTCCCGAGGCCAGGTGGCCCCAGTCAAGAGTCCCAAGGAGGAAATGCCTGTGTCGGGTGGTGGTTGGAGCAGATACCCACGTGTGCCATCGCTGAGAGTCAGCATCGCCCCCTGCTCTGCTTGCTTTCAGAGTCGGGACACGCTTCCGTTTTGGGCGAACAGCACCGGCAAGAAGGAAGGCTGGCAGCACGGATGGCATGGATACGACAATGAGCTCATGGACATGCGGGGCTTCTTCATGGCCTTCGGACCTGGTAGGCAAAGCAAGGGCCAGTGCTCTCCGTCCTTCACCCCCAAGGAAGTGTCTCGAAGGGGGCTGATGGCACCGGGCAGGGCTGTGGGGATTTCTTGATGCCTCTTTATGCGCAAGGCTGAGCAGACCCAGCCGTTCTCCGTGACACATCTTTGGTTGGCTTCCTTTCAAATGCGTCTTGGGTTTGGCAAAGGTGGCCAGATACTTTTCCTTGTAAATTTTAAATCCTGAGTGCGCTGAAGAAAATGTATTCCACATGTTTGTGACCCATTTTTCACTCAATTCATCACAATGCTATTTCACAGCTATCTGATGTCCAGGGAAGCTTCTCGGACCCCAGGTTGCTGACAGCTGTGAGCCTCGAGGTTGATGGGCTTGCATCTTGGGGTCTGGCTCTTCCACCTTCCTCCTCATCAAGAGCAGCCACCCCTGAGGGGCTCATTCGGTCAAAGACCCAACCAGAAGCTAGGATGTGCTCAAGGACGGGCCCAGAAGTGACCTTGAGATGGACATTGAGAATGAGCTAGAATGACTAGGGATGTCTTAGATGAAAGCAAACTTGCTGTGCCATCCTTGATCAATTCCTAGGGCTGAAAGAGAGGGGAGATGGAGAGGGTCTATTTTGTCATTTGATCTCATCTATAGGGCACTGTAAATTGACACTTTGGAAAAGTTTGCCAAACTCTCTGAAGATCATACTATCATCTGAACTCCTCCCTCTTCAAAAAAAAAAAAAAAAAAAAAGCAAAGCCCCCCCACCATCCATTGACTGGTTCCTGAGCGACTTTTTTTCTCACTACTACCCACCCTCCATTAAATGTAACAGCCTCACCCTGAGACCTGTATTCCAAATGCCTTTTTCGGGATGTTGATCAGAATGTGTCCACCCACAAAAACCCAGATTTCCCTTTCAAATTATAGGTTAGACATTGCACCTATAAGCTCTACTCTTCTCAACGGAGCACAACCAATAAGACATGTCAACATACCTCATGGGTCCTTGGTTCACCCCACTTACAAAATCTCTGTTAAGAACTGTACCATGTCAATTTCTGCAACTTTCAGGGGTCTCTCTGGGAGCCTGAGCTTAGGCAACACACTGATCCTAACTCTTTTCCACATCTGATCCGGGATTCCAGGTCCTGAAGTGAGCATCTGAACCAGTAGCAGCAAGCATTCATAGAGCATGAGTGGGGTTCACAACATCGGCCTGAGGGAATTCAAGAATGCCCGAGCGTGTTGGCTTTCATTGATGAGCTATCAGGGGCTCTCTGTTGGCCAAGCCCCGGGTCAGATAGGCGGAGCTAAAGGAATTAGGGACGGAGCCTTGAGGATCACGTCAAGGTCAACTACTAGATGAGGTTGGACACATTTCAGGGCCGTGGCCTTTCTGTGGGGGAACATTGGTTGACAGGGTTTTTCGTTCCAAAACGCGTTCTCCTCCCCGCACACCGCCCGAAGAGGGAAGGAAGATCGAGTGCAAAGCAGTTGTCTGTTGAAGCAGAGTATCCGAGCAGGATTCTCAGGCGTGTTTTGAAAGCAGAACCAAATCTAGCCCAAACCCCAATTTTTAAACACAGTGCCCAAAGCCGTGTTAACTTAAGGAAGGCTGAATTCAGTGGGGGAGATTTTGTCCATGAGCAGCGGGCTCCGTCATAGGCTCCTTTAAAACTAAAAACCCTCAGTCTTCCACAGGCAGAAGGATGACCCTTGATGAAAACGGACTGGGTTAATTGCAAAATGTTTCCAGGCAGATAAAGCCTGGAGAGGCTCCTGCACACCATCACGTTTCTGGCTCCAGTTCTCATGAAAGATTAAACAGCTTTCCACACCGACTGTTTACCGAGGAGAAAATTTAAGAGTGAGGCCTTTAATAGCTATCTGGCTGCACTTGGAGATAAAGGTGCATCCCTCCTGATTAATTGCATGTGCTTCTTGCTTAGGGAGGGAGCAGGGCATCACTGCGGCTGCCCAGATTCAGCCATAGACGTCAGCAAGTCTGGTCCAGCCAGGAGGAAGGGAAATCATTCTGGAAGAGAGCCTCTCTCTAGTTAATCCCAGTTTCTAATTTGAACAACCTAATCTTACCCTGGAGAACCCCACGTTTGAGATAAGACAGCAGGAGTGTGAGTCAGTGAGCTGCCGACCAGCTAGCAAGCCCCTCTTGAAAGCAGCCCGAGGTGGCAGGCACGGCGTGAGCCTGCAGACACTCTCTCTGGAGGCACGTTTTTAATATCCCAAAATATGTTGACCCATTAGAATAATGTGGATTCCCAATTCAGGTCTGAAATGCCATCTTGAGGTAGTTGTTCTCTCCGGTTGGATCAGGCACTGCTTGGCTTATTCAGGACTTTTCTAGAGCTTTCATTCCAGCCCGGATCATCTCTGCCTGGAGCCCAGAGTCCCACCCTGCAGAACAGGAAGCCCTGAAGTAGAAGGAATAGGAAAGAAAACTCGATTCTCCTTCCACTTACTTGCACAGAATTTGTGTTGTGCTTTCAGTGTGAAAAGATAATCGTTTCTAACACTTTCGTCAGAAGAGCTGGATCCGTTTTTCCTGAGAAGTGTGAAAGAAATGGACTTTCGAAAGGCTGGGGGAGGACACTGGGTTTACTCTTGTCCTCCACCTTACATGCCCTCCCACTCACAACAAGGTCACGGCCACATGTGGTGGTCGTGGGATTGTCACCTCCAGGTCCTGTGGTGAATCAGGAGAGAGAAGAGTTGCTTCCATATCCTCATATAATTGACTAACTTGCCAGACATTGAGGGGAGCTGGGAATGTAGGGCGGCCCCTACATTCTCCTTTCCAGGCAGGCTCTAATGATTATTATTTTATCTGGACTTTTTAAAGTCCAGATCTCACTGTGTCACTTATGTAGTGGTACAATCACGGTCCACTGCAGCCTCAACCTCCGGGGCTCAGGTGATCCTTCAGCCTCCTGAGTAGCTGGGACTACAGGTGTACATCACCACACATGTCTAATATTTTGATTTTTTTTTTTGTAGAGATGAGGTTTTCTTACTATGTTGCCCAGGCTGATCTGGAACTCCTGGGCTCCGGTGATCTTCCCACCGTGGCCTCCCAAAGTGCTAGGATTGCAGGCATAAGCCACTGCACCTGGCCGTATGTACTGCACCTCTGTATATTGAATTCTACTTTAATTCTCCAAAGTGAGCATGTGTAGTGTGTGTCGCATTCTGCACGTAACCTTTTTCTAATTTGTAATCCCAGGAAAAATATAGGCACAGAACTTGTGTTGGCACCTCTGGAATATATTGCTGTTGTTATTTGTTTGCTTTTAAAGAAAGTATATGTGATCCTTTTAGCAAAGCAAATATAAGGGTTATTTTCTGGCGATTTTTCTTTCTTGAGAAACTAGCCCATGGCAAGTCTTTCTGCCATGAATCTTCCTTTGTCCTTCTCTTCTTCTTGCTAATAAACTCTATTTTAAAAAAGTATTTTCCAAGATAGAAAACTTGGCTTTACAACCCTCAAACAACTCATTTTCTTTAAAATCTTAGATGAACTAAAAAGCACATGAATAGGTCTCTTTCGACGGGTAAAACCTCATCCCTCAGTTGAACCTCCATGTAGCTGTGGGTATTTTGTTGGAAGTTCTGGTTTGGGACCTAAAAGTGAAGTTGCTTATGTATATTTCTAAAATCATATATTCACTCTTTAAATGGACACACTTTGAGTTCAGTATCTCACATTGCCTCCTGTGGAGAAGGAGAAGGTGACTCTGTTCAAATCCCTCCCACAAAGTACCCTTCAGGGCCCCCGCTTCCCCTGTGAGCCACCAGCCCTACCTTTGGGTTCTCTATTTCTGCCAAGTTTGCTGCAGACTCCGGGGAGAGGCGTGGTACCTTCCTGCATTCACCCCAAAGCCTTGTCACTCAGAGCCCTTCAGCAGTGCCAGGCTTCTCACTTCTCACAGGCTGATTTATTTTTTGTTGCTAAGAGGCTCCCAAGGAACACTCCCTTGATCTTCCAGATGTGTTTAGGAAACCCCTGCCATGGCTGCCAAGCTAGCCAGCCCGAGGAAACCATAGAGGTTCACATTCCATCAAGACCTGGATGTGGCCGGAAAGTGGAGAAATGTTTTTGAGGTGCTGTGGTGCTTCTGCAGCAGAAGTCGGTCCTCGCTAGATGGATGCTCTGGAAGATACGAATTCCGCTTGATTGGGTTCAGGGGAGCTCAGCAAGCCGGTCCATCTGTGACCACATGGGCTCCTCAGTGCTCTGTAGAAACGCGGCGGTGTCAGGTGGCCCCTCTGCCCCTGCCCCCTCCCCAGGGAAAGTGCTGTTGTCAAAAAGAGAGCACAGTCGTGCACCAAGAAGGTCTGTTTGCTGATTGTCTTTTCCCAAGTCAGGGTCTTGCTCTGAGTGCAGGGGTGCCCTCATGGCTCACTGCAGCCTCAATTTCCTAGGCTCAAATGAGCCTCTCGCCTCAGCTTCCTGAGAAGCTGAGACTACCGGTGAACAACACTATTCCAGGCTAATTTTTAATTTTTTGTAACGACGGGGTCATCTCTCACTGCCAGCCTCAAGCTCTCCTCCTGCCTCAGCCTCCTCAAGTGCTGGGGTTACTGGTGTGAGTCACCATGTTTGGCCCTGCTGATTATCTTTTCAAGAAACTCATATTTATGAGCCATAGGAAGTCCTTTCCCTTCATCGTACTGCTTTCAGATACTCTTCCGTGTTCACCATTACGGGCCGCACCCTTGAGCGGGTGGATTCCCATCCCAAGGCTGCAGGCTTCCCTTAACTCCTCCTTCCAGTGGTTCTGCCCTCCCTGGCCGGTGAGGGACCATGACAGCTTGTCTGTTTGCCTTTCCATTTCAGATTTCAAGTCCGACTTCAGAGCCGCTCCGATCCGGTCGGTGGATGTCTACAACGTCATGTGCCACGTAGTGGGCGTAGCCCCCCTGCCCAACAACGGGTCCTGGTCCAGGGTGGAATGCATGCTGAGAGCCCCGGCCGGTGCAGCCGCCGCTGTGCATCCTAGCAGCTGTGTCCTGGGCCTGCTTCTCTTGCTGTGCAAACTCACACTCTGATCGCCCAGCTCCACCCAGAACGCTGTGGGCAGAGCGTGCCTCCGGAGCGTCGTGGTTTCCGTTGTCTGCTGACCAATGGCTTCATTAACACAATCAAGGCCATGCAAATTGCAAATATATTATTCTTGGATAACTCCATAGATAAAAGTTCCTCCTTCTTAAAACAAAACAACAAACTTTGTTTTTCTGAAGGTAGGCACACCCCTCGCCTTTTGTTTGCTTGATTTTGTGTCATTTTCTCCTTTCTTTTCGTGTAGTGACTCAGGTTGGTCCGTCTGAGCAGGGACCTGCAGCAACCAAACTTGGGGTAGATGCTGCGTGGTCTTTCGGGTCTCCCTCTGCCCTGCCTTGTAAGAAGCGGCCTGCCAGATCAGGCCTTTATCTCGGCCCTGTCCACACCCAAAGCCATCTTTGGGGTTGATGGTCACAGTCCTGTACTGTTCCTCCCATCAAAGTTGAGGTCTATGGGAAAGAAAAAGCTACTGTCTGCTTCTGACTCAGCTTGCAAAATTTTTTCTTTTCTTTTTTTTTTTTTTAAGAGTCAATGTCTCACTCTTTCAACCCAGGTTGCAGTGCAGTGGTGTGATCATGGTTCACTGCAGCCTCAACCTCCTGGCCTCATGAGATCCTCCCCCATCAGCGTCCTGAGTAGCTAGGACTACAGGTGCACACTTAGCACCCCTGGCTAAATTTTTAATTTATTTCAGAGATAGGGTCTCTAAAACTTGTTGCCTAAGCTTTGTTACCCAGGCTGGACTCAAACTTCTGGCCTAACGTGACCCTCCTTCCTTGGTCTCCCAAAATGCGGGGATTACAAGTATGAACCACCACAGCTGGCTCAATTTTCTAATATACCAAGTTCCAGAAAAGACATATCTTAGCATGGATTCCCAATCAATCCCTCCTCTTCTCCAAATCACCAGGATTGGAGAACTCATAAAACAAGTTGAAAGTCATGGGTCCCCATCCAAACTCTGAGTGCACAAAAATGTCTCGCTTGCCTTGAGGAGCAGAAAAGCATCCACTGGATACAGGCTCCTGTGAGTTTTTTCATACAGTGTACATTATGGTGAGAAGTCTTGCCCGTTGATGGGTTGCTGGGTTGCCTGCCACCCTGCCCATCTCCTATGGGAAAGCTTCCTCAGACACTGTTGCCCTTGGCTACTGACACGGTGTAGGCTAGAGTAATGAGGTCTCAGTGATGGAAATATATATTCCCTATTATTGCATTAAAAATGAGTTAGCATTAAATGAGGCTACATCAGCAAGTGAGAATTTATGTCAGGAAAACGCAACACGGCAGGTCTCTTCAGGACAGTGAAGTCCTTATACGGTGTCGTACCTTGAAAAATGAGTATCAATGTTCACCCTGATTCAGGAAGGCTGGGCGCCAACTCCACGCATTGAATCATGAGAGCAAAGGATCGCTGCTTAAAAATATTGAATTCAACTTCACAATTATTTCTAAGGATTTATGTAATGCATTTTTAAAGCACCAGCAAACCATCAATCAATTGGGAAAAAGGCAAGTTAGCCTCTGTAATCTGGCTGAAAGCAAATTAGTACTTGCAAAACACAGGCCATAGTTGTTGAAAGACAGCTATTGTCAAAGTGTTCCAATGGATTCCACGGAACCCACATGGGAAAGGAGTTTCCCTAAAAGATATTGAGTGATAAAGTTAAAAGTAGCCATCAAAACCAAGAGGGAATGAACATGAACACAGTCTCGCATTTGTTTACTGTTCTCCGGCCATTCCTCCTTTACTCTTCCTGAAAATCTTCAAGTTACATAAGAAAGTTTCAGACATTGGTCTGTCAAAGTCTAAGTACTCAATAAACAATGCTGAATAAATGAATAAGATACAGAAGGACTCATGAATAGTGGTAAATCCTGAAAAAGATTTCAAATGAGTGGAAATAGTTTTCTTCTTTTTTAGGTTTTTGCCTAAAACAATGCATATATTTTAATGGCTTATTTGGCTACAACTCATTCCCTTTTATTTTTGTTTTAAAACTGCATTGTTCTCCCCAGGAAAATTCCAGTTTCTCTGAATGTGTTTTTGTTCCATAGGAGTAAAATCTGCTAAGAATATGTACAGATACCTTTCCTCCTGGATTATTTAAAAACTTCACTGCTAATTCCAGGACAAAGATAATTGGGTTGATGCACCAAGGGTAAATGAAAGGAACAACCCTTAAATTAAGGATGAGAGGAACGTTTACTTTCTCTGTCCATGTGCCTAACCTCCAGAATCCAATACAATTAAGTTGTGAAGACCTAACTATACACTAGATTAGGCCCAGGGAATTCTTCTTAGCATAGAAGAGTCCCAAACTGCAAAGTCCCCGTTCTCTTTACTGCCACAGGGGCCTTGGAAATCCATACCAGACCTGAGTTCGATCATGGGCAAGAGCTTACATATTTTCTAGGCTTTTAAGCCTCATCTGACCTACCTCCAGAAATTCGGGTTCAGAGGGTCTGAGTCCTCCCCATTTGGATCAGGCATTGGTTTGCTATTAAAGAATTTTCTAGAAGCTTTCGTTACAGCCTGGTACTTTTAATTCACATGGATCAAAAGTTTGGGGTTTGCTCAGAGGAGAAGTAGGTTCTGATTGGATCCTTGAAGACCTGAGTCTCCTGAGAGCCATTTTAGAGCCAACCAGTTTCTCAAGGGGCCCTTAGGGTGACACCAGCTACTAACCTCAGTTGAGTCAAGCTTCCAGGCTTCTGAAACCAAAGCAGATCTGTAAGCACCACTGGTGGAGGCCTCCCTCCAAAATGGCAAACTTGGCTTCTCCACAGCCCACGCCTCCGAGTGCTAAGCTTCCCAGTGGTGCTATCAGACAAACTCGGACACTATTCAAGATACACAGCTATCTTCCGAATTTTCTAGGAAAGTGCTTTGCATTTCTGTAAATATCAAGAGATTTCCAAATGTGATCATGTACTTTATCTTTGCAAGCAATTTGTGGTAGGCCCAAGTCAGCTACTGTAAACAACTTGCTAGAACGGAAGGAGGTAGCCTCACAGGTTGGTTATAAAACATTTGAAACTGGGTCTTCAATGTGTGTTATGAAAAATCTATGTTGTTTTGAAATCATAAAATAGCACCTGTACAGTGCCTCAAATGTTTAATACATGTCCCGTAAATATATGCTGAATGAAAAAAAATGTCATTAAGACTTGCTTAAACTTCAGATATCCTCTGTAGGCTCTCAGATTAAATGAACTTTCCATTTTTGGCTTTCCATCTTTTCTTATTGTCAAACCGACAGTATAATTATACTTTATTTCATGGACTATTCTATCCCAGGCTCATAAAGAAGACATGGGGGG